TTTAGGACTGAGATTGACATTACAGATATTCCTCGTTTAACAACCTACTTAATGACTATTCAGACTTACAGCTGAGGTGAGCTATTTGGACTTAGGATCTCTCTCTCTCTCTCTCTCTCTCTCTCTCTCTCTCTCTCTCTGTACAGTTCTGTACATCTTATTATAGAGGCTCAATGTCGTTTTTGTACAGTACACCTTGTATATAAAGTATTGTAATTTTATGTTCTGTTACACATTACAGCACTGAATGTAAGAGTTATGCAAATAAAAGCAAAGTCATCAAATTGAAGTTTCCTTTGACCATTTCTTTGTTCTGAATAGTGTGATGTACATATAATATACAATTCCTCACTTAGTAACCTAGTAGAAGGAACGTGGCTGGATCATTAAGCGAGGAATGTCTATATTGATTCCTTCTCACATTCTCATTTCTTAAAAGTTTCCTGGTTGGGCTAAGCCTAATTATGGCCTTGGCAAGCCACAGAACCACGTGTATTAACAGAAAAGTGATGAAAGACAAAGATAACTATCTCCAGGAGACATGAAGAGCAATGCTAACTACATTTATTTATTTATTTATATGATACTGGAGATTCAACCCATGGCCTTTGCATTGAGCTACATCTCCAGCCCTTTTTTACTTTTCATTTTGGCACAGGGTCTTGGTAAGTTAAGTTGCCCAGGCTGAGCTCAAAATTGTGATCCCCCTGTGTTAGCCTCCCAGAGTGCTGGGATTGCAGCTGTGCACCACCACTACCTAACTACACTTATCTTCAACTGGACTAAAATCCAAACAGACCTACCTGTTATTGGGAATAATAGCAAGAATTAAGAAACATTGATTTTGTTTATTTGGGGATTTTTTTTGGTACTGGGGATCAAACTCGGGACCTTGGCAGGTGGCTGAACCACTGAGCTAAATCCCCAGCCCAAGAAACATTGATCTTTAAGGTAGTTCTGGAAACTGTCAACGGCGAGGGAAAGGTGGAGAGAAGTTAGACCAATATGTGCTTATTAAACAGACTGCCTTTCTTAATCAAAGCTGTTGGCAAAAATTTACCAATTCAATATTTAGGTAGCTTAGTTGCTTTTGTACTAATTAACCTTTTCACCTCCTACCCAGGATCAGTAAGGATTTCAATTGTCACATCTACACATCTACATTTGTTTTCCCTTATTAAATATCCTGGGAGCTGTCATTTACTGAGCCTTCAGAACAATATGACTCATTTTTTATTCTAAGGTATGTCAACCATAATAATGAAGGCCATTATTATTCCATTTTACAGATGAAGAAGCAAGAGGCCAGAGAGATTACAGCTTGGCACAGAGGTTCAGAGGAACAGGAGCAGGAGCTTTGATGTTGCACAGACTTGAATTTAAATTGTGCCCCTTCCCTGGCATCTTTCCTCTCCTAGAGATGAAGCTCAGTTTTTTGTTTTGTTTGCAGTTCTGGGATCAATCCAGGGCCTCATGGATGCTAGGCAAGTGTTCTGTCAGGGAGCTACACCCTCAACCCAGGGCTCAGTTTTCTGAGATGGGGGCTCCTGTGGGGATGAGACAGAAGCCAGTATGTCGGGGTACATGGCTTTAGGAAGTGCTGCTTTCTCCCCCTTCCTGGGGCTTCTCACCTACAAATCCATGTTTACCTCAGGCAGTATCTTCAAATGGTTTTAAAAGTAGCTACTTCAGTGAAAATATAGTATTGTACAGAATTTTTAAAATAAGGAAAATGCAGATAAGAACTTTTAAACCCCTTCATTCCTTCCCAACATAGTCTTGTTTGAGCCTTTAGAATAATGCAATTTTTTAGCTGCCTATTTCCAGAACATCACAACACTACCTGTGGGCCTTGGCAAATGTGACTCCGTGAAACGCTGCAAGAAGAAAGGCCTAGGCTCTTGTGTTCCCTTCTCCCCAGTTCTCTGGAGCAGTATACCCCTTCTGTAATTCTGGGTGTCTAGGGGATGGGGTTGGAGGTGGCCGGGGTTGGAGGGAAGTCAGAGTGGAAAGGAGGGATGTGACTGGTAGCCATTTCTTTGGTTTCCATGGCAAGGACATCTAGCACAGAAGAATGGACTACTTTTATAAAAAGAACATTTCATTTTTTTCAAATTATGGGAAAATCATCTGATGCTTTTTTATTTAACCCAAAGCTATTTATTCTTCCTAAAATTGTCTGAACCACAAGGCCATATTCATCTGGGAAGTAGGCAAAGAAACCTTGGAGAGATCCTTTTGTTGGTAACAAAAACTTGCTAATACAGTCTTGAATTAGTTAGGTGCATCTGTACTAATTATCAGAGGAGATCAGGTGCATTCAGGGTGGTATGGCCGTACTAATTATTAGTGTGGTGTACTAATTATCCATCTGTGTCTTCTACCCAGGTAATCACAATAAGGATTCAAACTGTCACCATCTGACACACAGCAGGGGCTCAACAAACACTTAAAGTCACTATAGTGGCTGTTGTGGGAGCTGACTGTCCCCTACTGATAATGCAGAAAACAATGTAATAACTTCCTAACAAGATCATCCCAGTCGCATTGTTGGGCCAGCTTCTGACATGAGTAAGAGTCACTTTTCAAATAATTGATTAATTCAGAGGCCCCATGTGTGTATACGTTTTGGACTGCAAAATTTCAAAAATACATGTTTACTTAACATTTAAACCTGGAAAGATTTCATATGCACTTATAGCTGGGTTGCTGTAAATAATACCAATAGTACCCATCTGGCCCTTTTGGGAAGTGGAGTTGGTAGCTGGATTATAACTGTTAGGCTAAATAAAATTTTTGAAGTCCTGTTTAATCAACTGTTTCTGGTGTCCATTTAGCCCTATGTAGGCCCCTCCCCCTAGAGTGTTCAAAATGTGTGCATATAAAATCCAAATCCTGGTCCTCAAATTCCTCACTCATGACTATGCAGAGTGCCCACAATGGATCTGTAAAAAACCCTGTCCTCAACCTTGTACTTCCTCAAGCTCTTGCTAAAGGAAGTATGAAAAGACCATTTATCCCTTTCTGACTAATGCCTGACAAAGCCCTCATCAGACCGGGAAGGAATTTTTTTCTTTTTTTTTTTTTTTTGAGACAGGTTCTCACTATGTAGTTCAGGGTGACCTGGAAATCTTTGTAGCCAGGCTGGCCTCAAATTTGCAGCAATACTCTTGTCTCAGCTTCCCAACTGCTGGGATTACAGACATGCGCCACAATGCTTGGGCCAGAAGGAATTCTTGATTCAAGCAGGGAGGTGAGAATATAGTCCCACTGCTATAAAAAATGACCACTATGGAAGCTTGTCATTTAGAAGACACTATTTAGGATCCTATAAAAACTAATAAAATGAGGGGCCGGGGATTTAGCTCAGTGGTTCCACCGCCTGCCTTGTAAGCAGAAGGATCCAAGTTCGATCCCAGGTACCAAAACAAAACACAACAAAACAAAACAAAAAACTAATAAAATGAAATAAGAATACAAGTGAAAATACAAATGAAATAGGAATAGGATCTTCATTTAATATTTTAAAAACATTACTGTGAAAAGCTCCACTTTAAAATCATCCCTAGGGGCTGGGGTTTAGCCAGTGGTTCTGCTGCCTACCTTGCAAGTACAAGGTCCCAAGTTCGATCTCCAGTACCAAAACAAAAAACAGCAACAATAAAATCATCCCTATAAGAGTCGGCCAGATTCGGACTGTTGTCCTGTCCTAAACTAATGTTACCTTCCTCTTGGATCTTCCTGGTGATCCAGTTTGATCCCCTGAGGTCACAGAGTCCTACTCCCCCTCCTTTGCTGTTCAAGCCACACTTTTAGCGCACACACACACACACACACACACACCCGCCCAGCCCACTACTCTTATGCCTACCTTCTTGGTTTTTCACACCTTCCCCATTCCACTAAGGATTCTGTTATACTCCTCAAAGATACTTCAACAATAAGCATTATATAAGAACATTATATAAACATTTATTGAGCATGTACTATGCACCAAGTGTCTATTTAAATAGAGAGAGAACTTCACTTTTAGAAAACACCACAGTCATCCAAGGCTTGCAATGTGATGGTTAAAGATGAATGTTCAGCAGCTAAACTATTTCATAGGATTTTAATCAAGACTGGAAGACCACATCTGGGGTGACCCAAACGCTGTCTGCAAGACTCCTTCCAACTCTTAGTCTGTGATTAGGCTGCCATTCTCCTCACCTTTACTGATGTAAAACTGGCCAACGGAACTGCTGCCATTTTAAAGAATGCAAAAATTTTTAAGAGCCAGTGTTGCTATAAGGGAAAGGAGCTTTTTGATGCACCCTTCTGTTTCCCATTAGAAGACGGTTCGCATCCATTCCGAAGGAAACTGTTCCTGCTGGAAACAGTCCCTTCGTCTTACTTCACCAAGCTGAGGAGCCACCTCCTGGGGATACTTAATTCGAGGTGCCACCTGATGGCAATAAGAAGCAGAATCATGCCACAGGGTTAAATCCTACCGGCCCAGAAACGCAATTTCCTTCAGATGGTCAGTGGTAGTTTCTTCTAGGAAAGGCTGTCACTAAAATATCCTCCAAGAAGGTCCCGTGGTCAAAACCCTAATGCCTGTAGCTGACGGGTGCCCAGCGGTCTGCCCCGGCAGAGCCTGAGCCAGTTCAGCCCACCGCCCACTCTGCTCGCCCAGACGTCTGGGAGGAAGAAACGAAGCGTCTGGAAGCTTCTAGGAGAGGACGGGAGTTTCCTGTCCCCAGTCCCTGCTCTAGACCCGGACCCACTCTGCAGGCTCGGGCGGTCCCTCCCGGGCGTGAGCTCCAGTGAAGGCAGCAGAGGCGCGGGACCGAGAGGGCTGCCCGGACCCGGCCGGCCTCGCCCCCTCCCCTCCTCCGGCTTTGGTGCCGGCGCCCGAGCCCGGCTGCTCCGCTCCTCCCGGGGAGAGGGCCCGGGACCGGGTGGGCGCAGGCGGCAGGAGGGGCGGGAGGACGGAGGGAGGCAGGCGACTGGAAGCCTACCGTCTTCTGCTTCTTGACCCCCGACATGCTGGCTGGCTGTGGCGGGGCCCGGCTCCCGGGGCCAGACGAAAGGAGACGAAGGTCGCACGGGTGGCAACGGCGAAGGCGACGGCGACGGCTGCTGCCGGGCTCCCGGGAAGGAGGTATAAAAAGGCTCCGCAGACACGTCGCACTTCCCTTGACCAGCCCCTTTCTCCTACTCCTCCTCCTCCCGCGCGCGCCTCTCCGCCCCGTCGCCCTGCCGGCAGCGCCCAGCCCTGGGTATCCGGCCAGACCTCGCAGCCCACGCACGAGGCGCGCAGGGTCAAGGCCAACTTCCCCTTCCCCTCCCCGGAGGGTCGCAGGGCGTCCTCGACCTCCCACCCCACCCCCCGCACTTCACCAAGGAGGTCTTCTGGGGCCCAGGAGGTTATTTGGTTCAGGGGAAGGATGCTTGAAGTCGCCACATTGCGGGTGTGAACCTCAGAGGACCCCTAATGGAGCTCTTCTTCGTCCGCAGTACTGTGATTAAACCGACTCTATAAACATTTTTATGGGTCCTTACTCTCCTCTCCTCCAAGCTTTGTCTTCATTATCACGTGGCCCCCATCCTGGCCCTGCCCCAGGCTGCAAGTCCCTTTCACAGATAAGGCAATAGAGACGTTTTATGCCAGCGAGAGGATTCAGACCCAGGCTGTCAGCCTCCATAGTGCAGACTTTGTACACCAGCATCACCCAGCACTGTGATAAGGAAACCGCGGGCTTCTGGCTTTCCTAGCACTGTGCACCAGGCATCCTGCCAAAGGGTTTACATGCACTCACTGTTCTTCAGCTAATGACAATCTCCTTGTGGCACAGATTGCCAGGAGAGGCATTCCACCTCCTCACCAAGTCAAGAAAGCAAGGCCTGCCCCAAGCAATGGCCAATGGCAGCTCAGAGACTTAGTTAGTCCCTCCCCAAACGCTCTCCCAGAGTACTTACTACAGTACTTTTGTCACCTGGGATGGGCCCTGTAGAGACAAAACAGGGGGCACAGGTTAAGGAGGCTATGGCTCCAAGGGTAGTATGAGGCATCTCTCCAAAAAGACAGGCAGAGGTAAGGAGGAGGTATGGTGAGGACATCCTGGGGACAGCCATGGGTTTCACATCCTTTATGCCTTAATTCCCTGCCACAAACAGATCAGGAACCAACTGCACAAAAACCGAGAAGATACACAAGGCCCACCGTTATTCCCACTCTGGTCTTCCCTCTGTGAAAGGGATGGAAAACTCACATTCCGAGGATGGGAAGGATGGAATTTTTCTTTCATACTCAATTGTATTTCTGGAAGACTGCCAGTTTTCCAGACAGACATCTGAGGATCTGAGTGTTCATAGACTTCTCTTCTCCATGGGAAGGTGGGAAAGAAAAATAAATTAAGCGTAAAAAAACCTCAAAAGGCAGCCTGCATGTCTGCAGTCCGGAGAGTTCAGTCTTTTTACTTATTCACTTTGAACAAACTGCAATCACTCTTTTCACATGTAAGTAGCTAGGGGGCAAATGCTGCCTTTCTGTTCTACAAACAAACTACCACATTTTGAATTTATGTGAAGTTTAAAGGGCAGCATCTTGTTCTCTTCACTGGAAAAGATTTTTTACATTAGTTCCAATAATATCTTGGACCTTCCCAAATCTTGCCCTAAAAGAAGGTAAATTAAGTGCTGATTGAGGAATCATGCAGTTTGCATGATGTATTTTCTTCACACTGTGTTTTTAAAAAAACAAAGCTGTGTCCTTGAAACAGAAGGAAGTTAAGGATAAATCCCTAAAAGCTACTTCCTGGAAAAGAAATATGTGATTGTTTAGTCCTGGGATAGGGTTTGAGATCCTTTGCCCAATTTCTATATCCCTGTATCTTACATACTAGCAAGTAAAACTGATACTAGGGAAGGGAGATAGTTTGACCATGATCAGTTGTTAGGACACCCAACTCCCCAAATGCTCTCTGAATACTCTGTTACTCAGCGTGCATCACCATGTTCAGCTAGGTTCTTTCTTCTTAAAGGCATTATCTTGGACTCTTTCTTTTTTAAATCTCATTACCCTCTGATAGAGCATTCCCACTAAAAAGATATGAGCAACTAGAAGCTTAATTTATGGAGTCCACGATTCTGGCACATAGGAACATGGAGAGGACTCAGATAGAAGAAGGGGGAAGAGTTGAGGTCTGTCCATTCAATGCACATGTTTTCCATAACTTCTGCCAGTGCACTCTCCAAGACGCCCCTGTTGAACACTATGGTCTACATTATACCAACTTGTAATCCTTGATGTTGCTCACAGCATTCACATGAGGGTTGGGTTTCCCCCCTATTTTCTTTTCTTCTTTCCAGAAACTGGTTTGGCTTGAATAACTTAATACAGTGGTTCTTATTAGTTGATTCTTTTATTGTTTAGAAAAATTGGAATCAGTCAACTCATCAAAATAAATAGGGGAAACATATACAAAGAATGCCATTATTGGTGAGAGATTTAGGTCACAGGGTCCCCCATGACTTTTGAGGGGACTCATGACTTCTTAGTGGCAGCAGCAGGGAGACACTACCCCTGAATGGTCATTACAAAGGAACGCGACTACATTGCCCCCTAGTGTCTGAAATGCATAAATGCCAGAAGGGACCTAATTGCTGAAACTCCTTAAACAAAAACGTGCAGCATTTCTTTGAGTAAAGAAGCACTTTAAAAGTTTTCTAGGATCCAAATACTCTTCCCAGGCACAAGCCTTACCAAGACAAGCAAGACATGGTCCTTGTCTTCAAGAAACTCACAGTCACTGAAAGAAACAGACTCTACCCCATCATTTTAATATAATACATGATTGGGACAGGTAAAAATGATACATGTATGCCTTAGACATTTTATTTTTACTTAAAATGCATACATTTAACTAAGATTTTGGTATCTTAGGGCTTCTATCTGTTATGGGTCTTCTGATGGAAGTTCCACAAACTACTTTCATTATATATCTTCAACAATTTCCAGTTTTGAGTTTTATAAAGTTGAGTTAGAAATTACAGGGACTTAAGAAACAATCTGAGAAACAACAGTTTTATCTTGCCTATAGCTAATCCACCAGTACAGTTTTTAGAATCTTATCTTTCCAAAGTATCTTTCTGTTTTTATAGAAAGCAATTCTTTTTACACTCATGTTACTCATTTAAGTCACAACTAATATAGTTACCACACTAACAAGTAACTGACATAAATAGCTGGAGAACAAACACAGTGGATTTCAGCAAACTTCAGCTTAGGTACAGGAGTGTGTGGATGTCTCAGTGCATCTGACTGTTGGACATCCGGTTTGCTGTGGATGTCAATCTTTATTTTCTCCTAGAAGAAATGGAGAGTGTAGACTAAACTGACCAGTCAGTTAAAAGAAAGGGTATTATGGGAGCACAAAGGAGGGACATCCAGTTCCACTTTGAGAGGTGGAAGGGTGAAGACCTATGTCAGGATTTTCTTCGAGAAGAGAATGCCTGACTTGAGACTTGAAAAATTGGTAGGATTTTGCAAGCACTCCGCCTCTTCAGTGTGGATGTTGTGAAAATTTGAAAATTTAAAGGCAGAGAGATGCATGAAATAATATGGTATACTCCAAAAATTATAACCATTTGTCTGGCTGATTTCAGGAGATATAACAAAGAGTGGGGAAGGTTGTAATTGAGAACATGCCCCAGTACAATCAGGCAGCAACATGATTTTTCATGTTCTCTTCTTCATGCTGATTGCAGTGTTAGGTATGTGGCTGGTTTTCACTGTAATTACGGGACACTGACACTTCTTAGGTCCAAGAATAGAAGTCACTGTCTTGAGATGTCCATGGTCTGGTGAGTGAAATGGATATATACTGAAATAATTCCAAGGAAATGTCCAAGGTACTGCAATAAGTGGATGTTTGGAATAATAGGGAAGCTGCCAGAACAAAAACCAGAGGCAATGACTACTGGACAATGAGGAGATTCTTATGTGGGTTGATCTTTAACCTGAGTTTTGAAGGATAAAAAGCAGCCAGACAAGAGGGTCAACTGTCACCTTACTCACTGATGGCTAAGGATGCCTGGGCTGATGTCTCTGCTACTGTAAGGATTTACTTCCTACCCCAATATTCCCATGTCTCCTTTCTCAAGTATCCCAGACTGTCACTAAAGACTCAGAGACAGTCCACAGACAAAAGCCAGTAACAGCCAGACCTTATACCAGCAGCACTGACTGTCGCCCAGGGACTGCCCAGAAAGAAAAGTCCACACTACAAGGCAAAGGTCATTCTCTTCTGCCATTTCTTGGTCACAATACAGGCCAAACTTTTTATCTAGACTTTGGGTTAATTTAAGAAGTATATTTATATATAAAAAAGAAGTATATTTATAACATATCTACATGTTACCTAAAGTAGAAACAATTAGGTATTTATGGAAATTCACTCCACATTTCCACAAACCTCAGTAAAAACAAGAGTTACATTTGTTTAATGTCAGGCACAATTAATTTAGAAGGTGTGAGCAAAGTGACAGAAAACTCGTGTCATGTAGAAGTTTAAATCATTAGAAAAATATCCAATTAAATTTGAATTATGAAATTAGCTATAATTTATTTAATTTATTAGAAATATATCCAACTTAAATTTTGAGTCTAAACTTAACTAGACTCTAAGAATTATATCTTTAGGCTTTTGGGCCACCATCCATCCCGCCATTCCTGGCCCAGAGGAAAGAGCTTTGGGCTGCCTTCTGTCCTGCTGCTCCAGGCCCAGGGGAAGGGGCTTCCTGGCCACCATCCGTCCCGCCACTCCCAGCCCAGAGGAAAGGGCTTTTGGGCCACCATCTGTCCCACTGCTCCTGGCCCAGAGGTAGGGGCTTCTGAGCCGCCATCCCACTGCTCCTGGTCCAGAGGAAGGGGCTTCCTGGCCACCATCCCTACCACCGCTCTCGCCCCCTGTCCCACCTCTCCCAGCTCAGAGGAGGTGAACCACGTAGGCACCAATAGCGCCCCCCCCATTCCCCCAGTCGAAATGAAAAAACACGTAAATAAGTCTCAAAACCAGACTTCCAGATCACCTACAACAACTCCAAAGGGAAATGAGATGGAACACTCTGATACTAAAACAACTGGACCCACTGAATGGGAAA